AAACAGCCCGAAACAGGCGTTTTGGACTGGAAAACCAACATACTTGTCCATATATAGTGACCAACGCCCACCGAGGCTAGGGAAAAGGAAAAGTTACTTTCAAACGAAAACGCACCTTGAGTGTTGTCGCTACCAGTGGTGTGCAATACGACATGCTGCTGGATTTACGCAGAGGCCGTGCGGATGACCGAGGCACCAACAAAGAAAATTGGTGACGCGAGTTGAAGATAACTTACTAGACCTGGTCATTAAGAGCAGAAGCCGCAGTAGCCCACGTGAAGCATGATTAGATATCAAGATGGCCCTCTTTTGGCTGTAGCTATGAGACTGACGTTGGGACCCTGAGACTCTTGGCGGCGTGGGAAAATATAAGTTGCTGAGCGGGAGACCAGTGACGTAAGTTGTCCTTGACTGCAATGATTTGGCTTCACGGCTTTGAACAAGTCGAGCAGTGACCAGCCATCGCTGATACGACTTTGGAACTATGGCTCCAACTTACTAGCTAGCTAACTAGCGCGTATCAATGAATGATAAATAAGTAGTAAACTTGGCTCCAAGATACGGCTACGAAGTCAGTCCGGAAAAAGGACGCTAGGGGCTTGTTAGGATCCAGATCGCAAGGCGCTAGAAAATCATTCCGCCGTTCTCAAGCTATTCCAGGTCTGTGTGGTCGCTGGTCGGGTCAAGGCGGCGGTTCGATGAGACTCCCAACGGACCAGGCTTGGGAGGCGGCACTGAAGGGCGGCGGGTCCGTGCTCGGAAACATTTAGAGTCTGGTGTGGTCGAGTCAATATTATTGGGACTACATACCCAGCCAGGTATGTAGGCTGCAAGTGCTACGGCAGGTCAGACATGGCTGGTGGTGTTTGGTGGCCACCCCAGCATTCCACCTCGGCCGCTGTCTTATTAGTCCCGGGTTTCCCTTCGCAATTGTCAGTCTCTACGTCGACTAACTTCTCCAACAATTATCGAGCCGAGCTGAGGAACTGCAAGACAACACATCCCGAGTCTCTGGGCTACCTATTGTCTGCGCCGTTGGCATCGACAAGCTGTTCCAGCGGCCGAACTGCGCATTCGTTGCCTCATCATTGCGCTTGCGTTCCGTTGGCGTGATTCATCTCGCCCGCCACCATGGCTTCCAAGATGGCCTGGTCCAAGAGCACCCGCATCAAGGTCATGATTGCTATTGACACGGCCTTTTTCTTGCTCGAACTGATTTGTGGCTTCCTTGCCCATTCGCTGGCCTTGACTGCTGATGCTTTCCACATGGTATGCGGCTGAACCATCTCGGTGCCATCCTCATCCTTCGTTGCTGACAACTGCCACAGCTCAACGACATCATCTCCCTTGCCATCGGATTGTGGGCCGTTGTTGCGGCGCAGAAAGCAACGACCGACGAATTCACCTTCGGAGTACGTATATGTCTTCGCTTTACACTTGCAGACCAGAACTATGGGCATTTTATGCTAATTACGCAACCGCCCAGTGGGTTCGCGCCGAAATCCTGGGTGCCTTCTTCAACGCCGTCTTCCTCATTGCACTCTGCGTCTCCATCATCCTCGAAGCTCTGACTCGATTCGTTGAACCTCCCCAGATCAACCAACCCAAGCTTATTCTTATTGTTGGATGTGCTGGCTTGGTCTCTAACTTGCTCGGTTTTGTTGTCCTTGGTGGTCACGGTCACTCCCACGGCGACGAAGAGGACGGCCACGATCACGACCACGACCACGACCATGATCATCATGACCACGGACATAGCCACGTGGACGAGAACAGGTCCTCGAATGAGCTTCGTAGCACCGTCGCCGACGAAGGTGGCGTAGTAGGTGACGTGCTCCCAGAAGTTATTGCGCAGCGAGCCGTTGAAAGTCCCGAGACTGCTCGCCGTATCCGATTCGGAGATGACACTGCCGCCCGAGATGATTCAAATAGCCAAAGTCGCGCAGCCCCCCAGGCGAGAGGACGTGCCCGACGACGCTCTAGTAAGTCTGGACACTCTCGCTTTCACAGTATCGAAGACATGAGTATCCATCCTGCCAGCTTCCGCCAGGATATCATCGCCGCCAGCCTTGCTGCTTCTTCTGGGGCTGGTATTGTTGCCGATAGTGACACGAGTGAAGATGCTCCCATCGGTGACTTGGAAACCGATGTCAACGAAGAATCACCACTGCTCGTCGGCGGTGGAAAGGGGAGTAACGGAACCATCAACCACTATTCTCACTCACATTCACACTCTGCATCCCACAAGCGACCCCGCCGAGACTCAAGTATCCATGACGGCCACAACCACACGCTGCCGAGAAAGGCCGGAGCCAAGGCCAGCGGTCATAATCACGCTGACATGGGTATGAATGCCATGATGCTCCACGTTCTTGGTGACGCACTGGGTAATGTTGGCGTAATTATCACGGCCCTCGTCATCTGGCTTACCGACTGGCCCGGCAAACTGTACTGCGATCCCGCCGTGTCACTCCTCATTACCGCTATTATCCTCAAGACTTCGATCCCCTTGACTCTCGCCACCGCAAGAGTCCTGCTCCAGGCTACCCCTGAGAATATTTGCATTCGGGATATTCGCCAAGACATCGAAGGACTTCCCGGCGTTGTCAGCTGCCACCACATCCACGTATGGCAATTGTCAGACACAAAGGTTGTGGCTAGCATGCACCTGCAAGTTGCTTTCCCTATCAACGAGCACAGCGGCGAGAAATACATGCAACTGGCCAAGAGAGCCAGGAAGTGTCTTCACGGTTACGGTATCCATAGTGCTACTATACAGCCTGAGTTCTGCCTAGATCAACAACACCGACACGCAGGTGATGCCGCAGCTCTACGAATGGATGGCGGTGCAGACGGAGCTGGTGAGAATGCCTGCCTACTGGATTGTATTGACGACTGCAGAGGCCAAGGTTGCTGTCCTAGCGGTGATGCTTCGTCCAAGGCATCAACACGCCGCAGCAGCGACTCAATACATGGCGGCGGTGACGGGCATTGATATTAAAGAACTACAACTAATACACGCTTCAAAGCATTCATTTTAAAGGAATTGCTATTTATGTATCCAAAAGGGTTACAGTACTTACACTAAATATTTTAGATGGTTTTTTTCTTTCCTATTCGACTTTATATCTAGTGAACCCCGGGAATATAGAGCAACAATGTGGGCATAATACGGTTCGTGTACAGATATGCTGTTGTGCAACATGCTGAGATTGGCAAGACATGGCAGAATGGTGAGGTGTTACGAGGCGGAAATGCGGGCGAACTGACATGGAAAGTATGGTTCGAGTCAGGGAAATAGAGTACGGAGTTAATGTCGGCAAGAGTCATCAAATAGCGCATGTTCATGCGGCAAAAGAAACCAGCAGTTTACTCCTTCCAAATGTGGAATGTTCTTTGACGTGGAGCTGCCGACTCGCCAACTCGCATCACCTTGCATCGTGTTGCACCATCCGAAGTTGATTGCTCACGAGATCAAACACGGGCCATTCGCACCTCCCCCTTAGGAACGGCACAGCACCCTGGCATAGTATCAACGTTTTGAGAGCGGTTGATACTGCTCCCATCCTCTCGGAGCCGCAGTCTTTTTGTTGCCGAAACCCCAAGCCACCCATCATCAGAGTTCGGAAACCGGGAGCTGTACAGGGATTGTTTGGTTTCCGCTCGCCAATGGATTAGGCCCACCTACAAGGCCCTGCAAGCCCTTCACGCCATGATGCGGAGGGCCTGGAAGTTGTTTGCCTGCTGCAAGTACCACGCAATAAGTCACTGACCAAGTTGGCGTTTCGCCAAGCATTGGCCGCTGGGCTTTTAGTGGCATCACGAAACAGAGCATGTACATAAAGCTAATGCGGTCATGTTCGGTTACCCCGTACATTCGAGTTGTTGATTTCTTAGGCGGCTAGGACGAGGCAAAAAGTGTTGAGCAAAAATAAAAGTCCTTACGGGCGTGCGACGCTCGAGATCTGCCGTTGGTGCTAGCTTCCCGCCATCACACAAAGTCGCCGGTTGGTCGTCACACAACTTGCAAGCGAAGAACCTGGGGTTCGAGCGAAAGAAGTGCTGTGCGAACATACCTACCTAGGTAGGTATGTATGTATGTACGCAGGAGGATTCGGGGAAACTGAAGCGGCCTACTCCATTTGCATGTTAGACGCCAATGATGTTTTCTGGACGATGTGGTTGTATTCCCGTGTTGCGTGTTTAGCTGGCCTGCAAGAAATGGCCGACGAGCCGTCCAATCAGGCCACCTTTGCCGAGCGGTTTTAAAAGTAACCGGAGGATGCATCATTGGCAACCGGAAGTGTTAGCCAAGCCGAGCGCTGCTGACTTTACGCAATTAAGCAGCCACAGGTCGGTCCGGTCTCCCGCATGGCAGCCGGCCAGGCGACATTGACGAAATGTGTCTGGCATTCGTAAATTGCCCAGCATTGCGCTGGGCAGCTTCGCCCTTTGCAGGTGAAGACGTTTTGAAGGGATATGTACATAACTTATTTGGTTGTGTAAATCACTCGCATTCTGGCCCGTGTTCTGTAAAGCCAAAATCCTAGCGTACTATTGCGCGGCGTTAGCTTGACAAAGGAAGAGGCAGACTGAAATTGGCGTGGATGCCTGTCAATGACTGCTTACTGTCAACCGCGCAAGCTTGCATCATAGAATAATAAGAAGTACATACATACATACTCCCTACTGACAACGCATGTGAATGCAGGGGATATATCACTTCGGTCTTGGCACACAACTGCGCGACCTTCGGGCACCGATCCCTATGAGGATTGACCCGCATAGATTAGACATGTCGCGAGAGACATTTGTATACTGCCAGTTCGCAGCCCTAGCCTTGTGGAACAGAGCGCGTTTAAGGGCGTTGGCTTCCGGTTCTTGGTTCCTATCTAGTGTCAATGCGACCCAAGCGTCCAAAATTGCTCCCTTACAATTTCCTGGTGGGGAGGGGAAGCAGAAATAATTATCAATAAGCCTCCCCGTCGTCAACACGTCAAGTCTTCATGGCGCAGTTGGTTTAGCGCGTTGGTCTCATAAACAAATGTTTGTGATCAGATGAATAATCTGGGCCATCCAAAGGTCGCGAGTTCGAGTCTCGCTGAGGACATCTCGTGGCAATTCTTTTGAGTGGGTTATTTTTTTTTCTGCTTAAGCAAATCCTTCCCCTTCCTTTTTCCTTGGTGGCGTTTATACATGCAGCGGGTTATGTGCCCAGGTAACTACCTAGGTAGGTAGGTAGTTGCTTGTGTTGGTGGGGGACAATCCTGCCTTGGGGCAGCAATTGGATCAAACCGAATGACGGAAAGGAAAAAGAAGCTGATGATTGTTGATTGTCCAAGTAAGAGACGGAACTGGAAATATTGGTCATGCTAGTGGTTTGTTATCGCGAATCGGTATTCATTATCTTCGAAGATGCATCCTCATGACAGACAGACAATACAAGCAGAACAGAAACTTGGAGCAAAACTGAACTGCGATTTTCAAAGCTGAATCGGCAGGCCGGATACAATAGCCTCGAGTAATATTATGAGCAAGGCGACTGTGGGTGCTGGCTACTGTTTTGCAAAGACAGTTGCTGCTGGGAGACAGACCTTCATGTGATTATGCGAGTGGAACGGTCTCGTTAAGTTTCAGTTTTCCCAGTATGTATGGCCAAACAGTCTATTGTACTTGTCATGGATACAGAAATTCACATGTATGCTCGATATGTACATGCCACTTGACGTCTTCTAGCCAGGGAACCCCAACTTCGCGCATCGCCAATAACTTGGCCAAGCTCTGAGTATACCATGTTTGGGGATGATAGAACTCCTTGCGTCGCTGTTGTGTAGCATTACGCTTGGGCCGGCATACACTTCTCAGTAAGTGGCCAACCCCAGCGATAAAACGACCAAAGTGCAAGGGTAGCAATAGAAAGGGCGTGACTTAAAGAGGCGAAAAGAGAGACATCCTCTTGCAATCCTCGGTCTAGTAATGTCTCTCTCTATTAGTTAGTTTCGAATATGATTTCTAAAGCTGTCACCATAAATCTAATCTCATGTTGAATTGCTAAGAGCCTAGTCGGCAATCGTACCACAGAGAAGTTCAAATACGTATAAGGGCTCTGAGAGGACTTCGTCCAGTGGCAGACGAGAAACTACCTCGGGCAACATGATCTATTCAGCTTTTCAAGCCTTTTAGGTTGACACATCAGTATGGCAGTGAAGCGCATCAAAAACAGTCATTTACGTCCCTGATAATCACTGCAACCAACGTCAGCCAAGATAGCTTCCAAATGTCACAGCCGCGCCCAAAGCAAAGCAGACCCTGTGTATAATGCTCGTTGAATTCCATTATCCCAAAAGCAAAGAACCAACTCTAGCCGTATGGGTAGATGCGTCGTTTTGGATACAAAATAGCTCACAACTATGCCCCCTACTGACCACACTGGCCCAAAAGAATCTGTCCGTAAAACGCCAATGACGTGTCCATGTGAAAGCCCCTCCCAAAAGACCAGACACGGCAAAACACACAAATCAAGTAGTCTTTTATCACTCTCTCATCTCTTGCCCCCGTGAATTCATCCGTTAGAAGCCGCGTCCACGTCCCCGGAAACCACCACCTCCTCCACGGCCACCACCGCGACCACCGCTGAAGCCGCCGCCTCCTCGGCCACCACCACGGCCGCCTCCTCTTGAGAAACCGCCCCCGCCGCGACCACCTCCCCGACCACCGCCGAAGCCAGAGCCTCCTCGTCCGCCGCGACCACCGCCGCGGGGTCCTCCACGGCCACCACGAGCACCACCCGCTCGCTTGGGCTTCTTCTCGCCGGCAACCTTGGGCTTGGGCAAGAACTTCTCCAGGGGCAGCAGCTTGTCTCCTCCAATGAAGACCTTGTCGCCGCTCTTGAAGCTCGTGGCTACAATCCCCTCCTGGGGCTTAATCGTAAAGTATACTTCGTTGATGGGTCCGAGGACCTCGTCGACCTTCCCAATGGGCGTCTTGTTCTCGAGGTAGATGGGGGCGTTGAAGTAGGGGATCTTGACGTTTGATGAGCGGCAAAACATTTCGCCTTCGACAGCGTGTTCGACGGTTCCCATTTCCTGCACTTCGGCAGGGGGGCCGGCGGGCGCAAAGCTGCCGCCTCGTCCGCCTGAAATAATGTCCCGTCAGTCGTTTCCTCCCAGCACACACATTTTTTCCTTGCGTCTTCAATGCAAAAGATTGGTAAAGGGGGGATGGGGGGAAGAGGGTAAAAAAATTGTTTACTCACCTCGGAAGCCGCCGCCTCCTCGACCGCCACCACGGCCACCTCTGAATGACATTTTGTGTTGCAGAAATACAGTGGTGATTTGCTGCTACGGGTGTGCGATTACATGCTTGTCCTCAAGAGAAACTTTTCGGTTTTCGATATCCAGCACGGGAATTTTATTTTTTCCGCAGAGCTAGCCATTGGCTCTCTTGATTGGCTGGCATAGGCACAGCTCGGTAACGTGTGGGGCGGAGGTGCAGGGGGTCCAGTTGAGAGATCTCACCTACCCTACGGCCAGGAGCTCTTCCACACCAAATGGAAGGCTTGAGTGGTAGTGGGACGGGCTTGATGGTTAAGTAAATTTTAGCACTCCTGTTGTGTATTTCTATATCATCTGTGTTTGTATCCATGCCTTGGATCTCCCTTGCTGTGCTCACGTATCCTTCTCAGCGTGCAGCTGCGAGATAGAGCGGTCAGGCTGGTGGTATTGTTGGCAGCACCCACAGAACGACAGTCAAATAGCTTTAACAGTTGCGCGATGGCAAGAATACCCGAGACAATATAGGTCATTTCTTGAACATCTTCTGTTTCTGCTCCTGGAATTCCACGGTAGTCGCGGCACTTGTTGGGACTTGCTTTTGCCATCCCTCCTGGGTGTCCGTCCCTGTAAGAACGATGCCCTCGCAAATACTCTTAGAGAAACAATGTCGATGCAGATCTTTGGAGGATTAAAGTGACCGATTCTTTAAAATAGAATACGGTACCGAAGTTGATATTGTTTCTGCTTTTGACTTACACCTTATGCTCTCAGGCATCACATGCGATACCCCGCAGCCGCTCGTGGTGGGGCAGTGACATCTCACTTCCCTACTGCACCAGCATCTGAAAGTTTGCAAATCTTACCATTGCTTCAAAAAAAACGTTGCTACTCGAAACCCCCACAACTTTGCTTATCTGCCTTGTCCAAAGAACGTATTGTGGCATTACCTTAGGTAGCCCCTACTCTTTCCACGCCCAATCTCAAGATGAGTCTTCGGTCCGCTGGGAAAGCAGGCTCCTGGTACGTAGCCTCTCCCAACAATCTCGGGAGTGAGCTCGACGAATACCTATCCGATGTTCCAGAAACCGTGGACGGTTCAACACTTCCTATACCGGGAGCGAGAATAATCATTGCACCGTATGTCTCCTGCCGATTTCTACATCCATGCGAAGATGTAATCCCGCTAATCATCTTGCACAGTCATGCAGGATATACCTTCTCAGGCCCCTGTGCAGCATGGGCATACAAATGCCTAGATCTCTCCAAGGCTAAACGTGTATTCGTGCTTGGCCCGTCCCACACATACTACCTTGACGGTTGTGCCGTCACCACATACAGCAAATATGTCACGCCATTTGGTAACCTCACCGTGGATCGTGACATTATCCAACGTGTCAAAGAGGCTGCTCAAATGGACGACATTCCGCCATCGAGAGACTCAGCCGAACATTCTCTGGAAATGCACCTCCCCTATCTATATAAACGATGCGAGCAGACCTTTGGATCACCAGAAAACTTCCCCACGATTGTGCCCATACTTATTGGGGACAATAATCGTGACGAAGAAAAGGCCGTCGGGCAGGTGTTAGTACCATATCTGAAGGACGAGGAAAACGCCTTTATAATCAGCTCCGACTTCTGCCACTGGGGAGCTCACTTTCAATACATGGTTTACTCCCCGGACAATGATCCAGCACGGTTGATCAACCTTCACAAGGGAGACAAAGCACCAATTGGACCGCCGATTCACGAAACCATCAGACTTCTGGACAAGGCGGCCATGGATGCCGTTGAGAGCGGACACCATGATGCGTTTGTGGATAACCTCAAGTTGACTAAGAATACAGTATGTGGAAGACACCCCATCGGCGTGGCCATGGCGGCACTGGAGCTTCTCTCTGGAGAGGTTGCTGATGTAAAGAAATGCCGGTTTCGCATCACTCAATATCAGCGGAGCAACTTGGTTGAGAAGCCCAGCGATTTCAGTGTGAGCTATGTGTCGGCCTATGCTGTTTTGTAGCGATGTGGGCTGCTTCTATTACAGTTGTTTGTGTATTCGGGTCAAGACTACACAAGGCTGGAAACTGTATTACAAGGGTCTTCTGTTTAAGTACGTAGCAAGTAGTTCACCGCATGGTATTATGTGTGGTGTATTTGCTCTTTTGTGCCAGTGAATCTCGATGCGTAGACGAGGATGTATTTGTATTGAGTTGCAGACGGGAAGCGTGTCAGGATTGTGAGGCGTTTTGCAACTGAGCATGTTTTCATGGGCCCGTTGCATATTAATGAGTTCATATTAATGAGTTTAGGCCCAATAAGCATGGCTTGCACTAAACAGGGGCTACTATTGCTCTGTAGCACTTGCGGGGAAGCAAAGAACGCCACGAAATTTCTCACTATGGACGAGCTGAATGCTATCCCACAGCGTTGAATTGGGTGGCTCGAATCGTCTATTTTTGTATATGCTGTTATGCTAACAAGGAGCTCTCTAGTCACTATGCTGCGAGGCTGCATCATGGTCCATCTGACTCCTAGCGGCCGGTGGCCGTGAGAGCTGTGGCCAGCCGCAATGCGTATAGAGAGCGCAAAAACGACCAGACGACTTGCTCCAGGATGTACGAATCAGTCTCCAGGCTGAGCGATATTATGTGCAAACTATAAAGAAGGAGGGGAATACTTCCGACATCTTTGGTGCGAACAGCCTGTCCACTCGTAAGATTGACTGGTAGCCTGGGTCTCAATGGCACAAAGAGGTAACGATGCAGTGTACGAAGTAGCCAGCCGACATAGCTCATCTCAAGCGTCATGCTGCACATGAAACTCGGCTGATTGACGAGCGCATGTTGATGACCAGTCAACCTTTGTTGGGGTTGACGAAAAGGCAGATCGGGGTTGTGACAAGCACATGGAGCACGTTGAGGCGCCCATTCTGAAAAGACAGAAGGTGGTGGCGGAACTGTCATTGTTATCATTGGTGGGCCGAGCTTCTTTGTCCTTCACACCAAGATGAAAATAGCATGGCTGGACGACTCAATATCCGTGGCTGTGTCGCGTCGGTATCGTTTGACCCAATCGTCGCATCATCTCTCAGAGAATCCACAACCCAACGGCCGCGTTGTCGGAACGTTCGCGCCATGTCTCGAAATGCGCTCTGGTCCGACTATGATTGTAGGACACATAATATATGATGGCAGTGTCGAATCTTGTCCCTTACGGAGTACGTCGCAGAGAATTTGTGTGATGGTGTGTGTCGGTCTCCGTACTGGAGGTGCACGTGCATGGCAGAGTGGCCAAGTTGATGCGTGAGTAAATCTCCCACCTGACACGCCATAAGAAGAACTCAGCAACGGCAGAACCAAAACAGGAGCAAACTGAGTAAGTAAAGTGTAGTGGCACTCGAGGCCGTGCGACGGTTGTTTGGTGGTGGGTTCTGGCAGCGATATGTCCGGTGCCTCAAACAAGGACCAGTTTGACGATTCTAAGAAATCTGTGCTTAGAACTACCCAGGGGTCACAAGTACTCTGAATGGTTTCGCAATGCATTACTCCGTAAATGATAACAAGTGGCGTCGGCAACATTGGAAGGCGGGCCTGTCACTCGCTGGGTCAACTGCATTGTCCTAACACAACATTGAGCAAGAACACGATGGCACCTGGTTGTTCAACTTTTGCATATTAGTTACTAGCCACGGAGTCACGTCGTTCAAGACCAGCCCACCTCTCCACTAAAGCTCTCTCGCTCTAGCGTCGGCCAAGAGCCCCAGATGCCCCTGTGCGCCCCCTGTGCCCCCCTGTGGTCACCCCCTGCCCCCCTTTTGTTCTAAACTTGTCCACCTGATGGCTGGCTGACTGGCTGGCGGCTTCTTCCAGTCCCCGTCGCCATTATCTTCAGTTGTTACAAACATCAACACCACCTCAAGGTCACGGCTCAAATCATATCAGCCCTTGCTACACTGCTGACTTGTGCCTGCCTCTTCCTTCGTCTCAACTACCAGTGTCTCCGAGTCCGCACCTTCTCTATCATTTGTCTCGTCGCCTCGCGAGCCTAACCAAGGAAGTGTCCAAGGACGCTCAGCATTAATTGATTTCCCTTTGGGACTGTCGATCCAGAGCCTCATTCCTCTGATCACCTCGCTCAACTTCAATCTCGTCTACAACCCGTTTATCACGAGCAAGGTGCTCTCCTAATCCACCATGAATGTTAGTGTTTCACCTCTGTTCTCCCTTTACTTCATTTCGGTCGGCGTTTCAACCTCGATTCCCAATCTGGACTCGTAGAGGATACATTCCCAACAGTCCTGCTTTCCATATTGTGACCACTACAATTTTTATTGGATCTCACTGTAGTCGCTGAGTCCGGTACTGGTGGCCCAAGTGCTTTACTTCTCGCACGTCACACTCCCTGTTGCTTCTACCTAGCCTCTACACACTCTCTGAACCTCTCGCTCCAAATCCGCAGGGCGGAACCTTGACTAACAATGGAACAACAGAACGGGTTAGTAATGACTTGTTTTCCTTGAACGTTCGACAGTCTTTCACTCTCCTTGACAACGATTGATTATCCCCAACTGCCCTACAGCGCTTCCGCGAGACTTTATACCGGACTAACACCTGGAACCGTGCAGATACGGTGGGCGACAGAACAATTATCAGCAGTTGGGAAATACCTCCGACTATTATCAGGGACAAAAACCGCGGGAATTTGTCCAAAATCAGTCATATCGACCCGACCGCGGCCAAAATAGCAACTACCAAGGTAAGAAGCCATGTAGCAGTCCGTGGTGGGCCTACTGAAGAATACGTGCTCACACAACGAATAAAATTACAGGTTCCAACTTTGAGATGGCCTCTCTTCCACAGACCGCTGGCCGAGCTGGTGGCAAGCTGAGTAACGAAGACTTGCAGGAGATCCGAGTCATCGAAGATGAGCTAAAGAAAGTCAACGCCAAGTTCGACGACCTGGGACGATTGCAGAATCGATATTTGAATGAAGTTAATGTCGCTGATGCTCGCAACACTAAAGAACGTCTTGATTTTCTCACCTCTGAAATCACTGGGCAGTTTGAAGATCTCAGACGTCGTGTTCAACAGCTCAGAGCCCGAACCCAAAAAGGTTCTGGGCAAGACGGCACTTTCCCACTCATCGTCGACAATACGAGAAACAACGTAACCAAGGCTCTGAATACGTTCAAAACGATGAAAGAAGCTCACAGGAAGCAATATCTAGCAAAGGTTGCCAGAGAATATAACCTTGCTGGGCAAGACGCCTCTGAGGAGGCAATCGAGGCAGCAATTGCGGAAGGCGCTGACAGACAGGTCTTCGCCCAGGCCGTGATGCAGAGCAATCGAACTGAAAACGCCCAAAATGCTCTGAACAACATGAAGAACCGGCACCAAGACCTCGAGAACATATACCGTACCTTGGAGCAGCTTGCAGAGATGTACCAAGATATGTACACTATGGTTGAGCAGCAGGACGAAGTTGTAATTAAGATCGAGGAACAGACTGAAGCAGTGAACGACAACCTCGATAAGGGTGTGGGGGAGATAAACACTGCTGTGAAAACGGCAAGGGCAACGAGGAAGAAGAAGTGGTGGTGCCTAGGTATATGCGGTAAGAAACACTCACACTTACAAGGGTTCCCTTTGCAGAGGAGTAAACTAATAGTTTAACAGTGGCCATTATCATCATCATTGTCATTATCGTTCTTATCTACATTTTTGTCATCCGAGGCACTTCAGGTGGCAACAAGAACAGCAAACGGGAGCTCGAAGACCTCACTACCACAGCTGTGTCGAGCTTACGGTCCATCGCTGTGCCGCATACTCGACGATTTGTTCCCCGCGCGACCGTGGATAGAGAACTTGCTGAGCAAATGGCTCGCATTAGGGAACGAATGCACTTTCCTCAGCTCCCAAGTAACTAAACATTGAAAGATGAGCTGTTTGGCTCTGTGGCTTGGTCCCTCGTCATGAAAAATCAAAACGAGAAGAGAGGATGCAGAGCTGGCTTCTTCAGGAGCATGCTTGACATGGGTTTGTGACAACATCTGCACTGGATTCCGAGACAGGAACTGATTGATCCCTTATTCTTTTTATTTGCATAAGACACCTCAGCGGGACAAATATCTTTCCACTCGTTTTTCTTCATTAATTTTTGGGTTTAAATTGTGTACACGTCACTATCGACATATGCCGCGTGCTTCACTTATATAGCGCGGGTCGTGCCTTTGCATTTTTACCATGTATCGTCCACTGATTCGAAAAATCGGGATTTCATACTGGGGGCGCGAAAAAGGAACATAAAAGGAAGAAAAGAGGCATCTAGGGTAGGAAATATGCTAAAAAGCATATGTGGTTGGAGCAAATTCAGATGCGACAATCTTGGTCTGCTGTTTGTGCTTTCAGCTCCCTTCATGTACGGCTACCTCTAGCTGGCCTAGGTTGGATCGAAAGTTGCTCTTGCGTAGTTTGCACCGTAATCTCCTTGTGGTTTCATCTGGGAGGGGGGAAATTGGTTTTCATTGTCACTCTCGAGCGGGAGTTTATCTTTTGTTTCTCTTCAATCAGGCGTAGTTGTGAATACATACATTGTAATTATGAGCTTACTCGGCCATGTTGCACAATGACAGTTGAACGGAGTAGGAGAGACCACGGTAAGTATTTGTTGTGTTCGCCTGGTCAACACGAGGACTGCCTAAACGCCTTGAAAATGCCCATTATCTAAATCCAAATAGCCAATCAAAATATTCAATACCGTCCATTCCACCGTGACACCGAAGAAAAGGCAAGCGCTTGCTAAAACTTGTTGACAGACATCCATGTAGTTACTCAAGGTCAATCTATTCAGCCGGGGAATTCATCTTCAAACGGCGCTCCCTGTACGGCAGATTCCCTCCCACGAGGAGGTCCATACTCATCCCGCGTCTTCGGCCCGGGCAGACTACCCGCCTGCTTTTCCAGTATGTCTCTTCTCTTCCCGCCCTCGGCGACGACGTTTTTCAACACGCCCATGCGCCGCTTGAACTCGTCGGCTAGCGCATCGACGTTTTCACGGCCAATGGCGCCGCTGCCCGAGCTGGGTAGGCTGTTTGGCCGACTGCTGCCGCCGGCGTCCAGGGGCTCGCGTTCCACCCCTTCTATTCGGAGCATCATTGAGGCGTCGCCCTCGCTGGCGTCGTCGCTGCGCTGCACAGAGAGCTGGGAAGCGGTGATGGCAAAGTCTGGGCTGAGGCTGGACGCCCACTGGACGGACCAAGTGCTTGCTTCGGTGGGCGCGATATCGACCAGCATTGCGCGGTGGTTCGGGTCGTCGTTGGGGTGGGAGAGGATTGAGGCATCATCATCGGAGAAGAGATACTGCACGCGCGGGTGCACTGTGGCTCCCGTGGACGCATTTGTCACCAAGGTGAAGAGAGGCTCGAAGGCGGGCGGAGGAACAGGAGGAGGCACGGGTTCGGCAGAGTGTCGGATTGACCTTGTTTCTGGGTCTGGGAGGCCAGCGGACGGGCTGGCTGCCGCTTCTGGCACGGGAGGCGATGGCTCGGGGTCTTTTTCTGACATTGCTGTGATGGTGATGAGGTTTTGGACGGAAGTAGCGAGGGGACGCCGCCTGGCAGCTGGGGCAGCTGAGGCGGCTGGATGCGCAGATGTTGTGCTGGCATGTCACTTGTGCAGCAGTAAGGCTTATCTCCAGCCCATCTCTGTTATCGGCACGTGCCCGGGCATCCATCAAGGGGCGCGCCAGCGGTGAGAGTCGGTCACTACGAGTCTACGACGGAGACGGCAATGGTCCGTGGGGCACCGCCTGTCTGCATCCTACCCTTGTGCAGTGGTGATGTGTTCGTCATTCTCTCAAGGTAGCCCTTGACAAGCACATGCATAATGGCGTGGCGTCGTTCATGTCGCGTCTGGCAGACATGTTGGAACCCAAAGTCAGAACCCTGACCCCCAGCCCTGGCGTTTTCTTGGCATTTTCTCGAGTTGTTGTCATTGCCAATCGTTGCTTTTCGACTGCGCTGAGTTGGACTTCAGAAGTCGACCACTGGTCCCGAATATAATTCCTGCCATAGGGGAGAGGTTTCGAAAAGTGCTCTATACGTCTGCAAGGTTGGCAGCAGCTGCCTATGACCGGATTCAAGTTTTGTTTGGAAATGGCACCGTAACAAGCATCGTTCACTTGACAAACTTTTTTTGCCCGTCAGACAGACACCCAGTTCATTTATGAATGCACAAATCCATGCTTATCAAAATCCTACCCGATTGCCAAGAAACTCTCAACTCCACCTTGGAAGTTACAGTAACAATCGCCGATACACCTTGCTCTGGGAATGCTGATCATGGCTCGACGGCTACGTCAGTGCCGAATCCTTGACAACCCGCTGCCAAGAATAGCTACCTAGGCAGTTGCTTTCTGATGTGCTTTGTATTCTGTAATCCTCTCTGATTCTCGTTGCTAATATCGTGCTGCCAAAAAAAAGGGGTTTGAACAAAATATAAAATAAAATCTACTAATGTAAATGCTGGGGATTCAAATAACGCCTCTGATGCTTAGGTCTTGCCTGCGAGATAGAATGAAAAACCCTACGTGACCCGGTTCTCGATGATTTATACCTCCAGCCCCCATAACGGTAATGCAATTTCAACAACGTGCTGCTCACCTTTTAATGTCGTAATAGGTTCGTGACTTTTGAAGTGTCTTGTTCTTCTTACGACGTGTGTAACGCACGAAAGCCTGCTGCAACCAGGCTTCTGGATGTTTCTTTAGAGTCGGCCGTTCCATTCCAATAGAAAAGACCCTGTGAACGTCCCTTATTAGCACAACAACGGTTTACTTCTTCTGATTCGTGACATGACTCTCGCTGCAGAGTACTCACACCTAGTCCTTTTTGCTTTGCAAATGATGCCTTCGCTTTCACCGTATCGGGATTATCGTATGTCACGAAACCCCCATCACCTCCCACGCACTGGGCCGAAATGTGTCGTTTGTCCACCGACTCCTTACATCCTTTCCGGGGAAGCTGGTTATATTCAAATGTGCCATCATTACCGCCACCCCCCTTGAATTTTTGGCCTGGTCCTGTGGCATGCTGGAAGCTGCGGCCATATGTAGGAATACCAAGCAGAATACCACCCGAAGGGAATCCATGGGACATCAAATGGGCGACGCCTGATGAACCAGAGGGTTCGTCCCGAGACATTGCATACAATTGGGAATGATGGCCGCTTTTCGGTGTCCACATACCGAAGAAGTCATACGCCATGAGGTTGACGGCATCCAGATAGTCGGCAGCCATGCGCAAATCAATGAATTGCAGCACAGATTTGGTTGCGGGCAGAGCGGCAGTCAGAATATAGCGATCATCTGGCAAGTGTAATCGAATCGTCGCCAACAGAGCCAAGAAGTCATTGCCTTGTTCGACACTGCAAGGATACTCCCATGCAACTGCGAGCAGCGGGAGGCATGGGGCCACTGATTAGCACTGAAAGCCTTGAGAAGCAAGAGTATTTTCTCATGTCGTAACTTACTGTCAATGCCATCCAGCCCAGATGCTTCTACCAGTCCCAAGGCGGACCGGGCCAAATTTTCCCGTAGATGAGCATTCCCAGCAACTACAGGGAAAAGATTCGAGCAGGCTCCTCCCCCAATTGACAACACAACTTGAAGGTGAGGATGCCGTTGTTTGAGGTGCATCAAAGATCCTAAAGCACCTTGTACTCCGTCTATCGGAGCTCTGGCATCCGCCCACTCATCGCTTAACTGAGCCACGGCCCACACGAGTCAGTGGAAACGGTTCTAGATGCGATAATGGACTCCTTCCCAAGGTGACGAGGACTTACAAACACACCGCCATCTGGACCTACGCTCGCGTATGCATAGTAGACACGGTTGACGCAGCTGTAATTCAGCATGGCAGGAGTGTCCCCTTGGTATACCCGGTTGTTGGAAAAATATACTGCATTAGTATACATTACTCTCGCAACGCTGGTGGCAAGCCGCGATTTACGCGGAGGAGAATGGGAGCTCATGACGATGGAAAAGAAATCTTTCAACGCTCTACCAAACGGCACATATGTGAAGAGCTGATATGAAATACAGGGTATCAAAGAGACAACCATAAACCGGCTTGTCTAAGAAGAAGAAGTGAAACCGAATGTATACGACATGCTGATGCCCGGGGCTGAAGCCAAGATATGTGCAAGCCACGGGGATGATGATGAACTCGAAGCACAGATCAAGCGAGTCAGGCATCAAAGGTGCCCGGGCCGATGGCATCTCTGCTAGAGGCCATGTCTAGACTTGGCTGGATGGTCCAGCTACAAGTATTTATACGAGCCCTGATTACGGAGCAGCAGACTGTGAAAGAATCATGGGATGACGGGCTGAACCAGGCGTGCCAGACAACTCATAGCGCATGTGGAGAATGGAGCGCGGTGGGCGTTTTGAATTGCGATGACCCAGGGCGAAATTCGCTGAGGAGGGCCTGCAAAACCCTGAAAAACAGAAAGACACAATGCATGACATAATTGCGGGGGTTACAAGGACAATTAGTGGCCGGCAAGATGGACCCAGGATGTCGGAGACAGAATGTGATATCAGATGCAGTCGATTTGTTTGATGAGTTCACACCCAGTTCGACGATGACATGGGACTTTGGAAACCAAGCTTGGCCCAGGGTCGGCGCACTTTTAGGTTGAGTAAGGCTTTGGCGAACAACTAAATCACTATACGGTCGAGTTCATGGAGGGTGGGTGGTAGGCAAGGACAACAGGACACACCTGCATAGAAGGTTTATGACAAAAGATCCTTGTTTCGAGCTGTCGACCGCCCTTTTTCGCTGCCTGTGACTGCCAAGTTGGGGCTCGTTTACAGGACTCTGCCAGTAAACACTACCAATTTGGGCTCTTGATCGAAGAATGCGTTCGGCTGAGACGTTGCGACGTTTCCGGTTTGCGCGGTTTGTCCTGCCGGCCGAATATCAACCTAGCTGGTTGGGGGCCCGAATGCCGCCGCCTTCCAATTCATATGACAAGGGACCCTGAGGGATAGAGCGGTGTCTTGCAGTATCGCATTAAGGGCAACAGCTGCGTGCTTCCGTCGCTGGAACTTCTTGTGGTGAAACGAAGGCGCTGGGAATGACCAATGCGACCGCGTTTGCTGATGCCCCAACTTGCAAGCAAATACGCAGATGATGATGTACCGGAAGATTGCGGGCATGGCGCCCCCCTACGGAGTACGGACGGCGCTCCACGAGGCGGTGGGAAGGGGTATGGAGTCTCTGACAGATCCCAACTGCCTGGGCGGGAACAAGTTGATCTTTTGTGGGTTTTAGGCAATGAATTCGGGATCCTCTATAGCCCATGCGAATCTGGGATCTCTCAACACTCTCGTATGCCACGGAACGCTCGGAAAAGCACTCGAAAAGCAGCACTACTCGGCTTTGGTCGGGGATGTGTGAGGAGAAGAGTAAGACATCGTGCCAGTCGAAACCTCGACGTGATGCTGCCTGTATAAGACCCCTCATACATCAGTTAATCTGTCTGAGCTATGACACCTTCGGGAAAAAGGCTGGTTAATTTGGCTCGCTTCGTTGTCTGCTCTATGGCTGATTGCCTGTTTGTATGGCCGGTGTGACCGTGGAGACAAAGGCATAATAGACTCCCCACGCTGGTAGCAGCAGCGGGGCGGGCCAGAGTGTCAGATGTGATAGGTTATGACGGAAGACAAGACTGTGTGTTGTTTATATAGACAGATTGACGTGGATAGACCTGAATGGGTTGGTGGTGTGTGATGTTCGACCTGCGGCTCCGCTTAGGCTGTTGTCACATCCAGTTAGCTTGGGTTCCGTTTCGGTCAAGGAGGGTTGATTGCAAGCGCTGGAGCACTTGCATATTGCTCATATTTTATACAAATGTGCTGCAGCAGCAGGCGAGAGTCATTGGACCAAGGCAAGGGTCTCGGTGTCGATGTGTCTCGACGACGTGCTGTCCTCGATGGAGCCATGGGGAATTGTACAATGTCATCTGATGATGTGGATGGGGATCAGCCATGAACAGTGAGTCAGGTACATTCAAGACGAATGAATACCTTGAGAGGCTTCCAGCTACCTGGTATGTATCTGTTTAAAGCAGCTCGAACGCAATTCCTGTTTCTTCCCAGCCCATCTGAGTCCTTCCCAGTCCTTCCCGGGCTCAATCCCATTTAGCATCGATGCACAGCTCCTTCCTTTTCTTCTTGTACCAATCGCGTTTAACTCGGATTGTCAGGAAGCCATCTCATTCCGGGCATCTGGCCTTTTTCACTTTTGACATTCCGACCCGATGCTATTTCACAGTCGTTTCCCAGCCGTCATGTAAAATGGGACGCTGCTTTCTCTCCCTCTCTCCCTCTCTCCCTCTCTCCCTCATTTTAGCGTTGGCTTTTTTCTTTTTTCTTTTTTTTCTTTGATTCCGTGAGTTTGTGTGCTGCTTGAACTCGCTAGCAAACGCCATAACAACAGCCATTTCTAGACAGCCGCCATCGGGCTGCCTCGAGGTAAGTAAGCCTTGAAATGACTCGGTTGCTACTACGGTGTCAAAATCTGCTGTAGACCCCGAGTCATATGTGAATGCGAGACCCATAGCGGAGCGACAAGATGACCGCTTGTCTCCGGCTTGAAATCAGACTGCATCACGCACGGCGTAGACTCCAGGTTCACTTCCAAAGATACAACGTCCATGACGACATCATACATGCGTCTGCCCTGGCCGGCAAGTAGGTCGAGCAAGAGCTAATTGGCACTAGATCAGTCGACCACAGACTGAATCAAAAAGCGGCCCTACTATCCTGGCGTGTGCTTCTCCTACTTCTAGTTGAATCTTCAAACGACCTCGTTTAAAGCACCACAGAAACACGAAATTCAAACCAGGGGATAGCTAAGGGAGGCCTTTTCCTGCGCTGCAACACCAATTGCAGTCGTTTTACCTGACCAAACTAGATCAATGAATTCGATGGATTACGAGGTACAGAACTCGCTGATCAGACGACGGAAGACCGCCAAACTATATAGGTGTTCAACCATGTATGTTTGGCCAAGCCGAAGCTTAACCATTCTCCTTCCACCGTCTTCGGCCATTGGACGGTATATAAGGCTTCGCGAGTGACGGTAGTACGAGGCAGTGTCAGTGCTTTCATCTGACATTGATTGGCTTACCACTTTGCACCAGGGGCTGCTCAGAGATTTGTGCATATATGCATGTACGCATGCGTGCGTCTGAGCATAAAAGCTCAGAGCATTAAGAAGAGCCGCCGCCCAGACACTCCTGTAATAGGGTGACGGATTTGAGATGACTGTAGTCAATGCTCGCTTGACCTGTTCGTTTGCCCTGCAATGGCTTCAAGCAAATTCACCTGGAAGCCACTCGTTGATAGGAAGGGGAGACAGGGTACAGCAGCGATCCGGCTCACATGCTGTGTAGGGCTAATTCATTAGGGAGTTCATTTTGAAGTAGTCAAGGTATCCGCATGCAAAATGTTGATCTTGGAGACGGCCTGAAGACCAAGAAGCAACATGTAACCGCAAGGTCCGTGTTTCGGGAGTATGAACTTGCGGGGCGAGATATCTTGGCGTTTTTGGATGACCGGCTTTCCAATCCAACAGGTAAGGCATATACAAGAACTGCCTACTAGTACACTCCTAGTAGGCAGCTTATACGGAGTAGAGAGAGGTATGTAGTAACTATGTCTGTACCACAGGGGAAGACGCTGGACAAGAACATTATGTATGAACCTGGCCTGTACGGCCTAGATGCCCACAGTGGCATTGTGTGCCCTGGAAGGTGTAGATACCTTAAACATGGGGCCAAGACAGGTCGCTGTCTTGAGCGAGCAGCTGTAGGATGATTTCACTTTTGCTGAAGTTAGGCTATAATAAAGGGACGAGCGCCGCCGCGCGATGCAACTTTCTAACGCTCTTTAGATCTTTTGATTGGACTTGTTCGCCATGCAGCGCACCCCGATCAGCATTACGAGCACCACGAGCAGAGCCGTGTGATGGCTGATGCCGGCTGCAGACTGCGACTTGAGTGACTTGTGGAATTGAGCAAAGGCAAACGTCCTTCCTTGTGCGGATGGACCGTTGGAGATGATTGTTTATGGTCTCGTGTCGGTCTACTGACCTCCTCACCTTGCCAAACGTGGTCGGTCCTCGTGCTACATGTTCGTTCTTGAGTAAGTCATTATGTACTCCGGAGGTATTTCAGCATAGATGCTCCGTACTGAAGTTGGTAGTTATGGAGAAACTGCGGAGTACGGAGCACTCAAACACCATGTCTGTATTATGGAGACCAGCCAGGTCCCACTCCTCGTCTGCACCAAGCTCGTAAACACGTTCCTCTCTACAGCAAGCTCTCTCCAAGTCTTCGTCAGCCGCCATGCCATGGCGATATCTGTCGCCCGCCAGGCTGTCCAATGTCTCTCCCAATTGTCCATGAATATGACAACGGCGACGCCGACGACGATAGCCTCTACTCGATAATCTCGACGTCGCCAGGTCTCGACACCGCAACCTCTCCTAGCGAGTATGGACACGACGATGTCGACGATGATTTCGAACAGTTTTCTCTTGATGAAGATGGCATTGGCGATGGCGATGGCGTCAACTCGGAAATTTCATGTGGATGCTCGACTTCAGTGACGCCAAGCGCGTACGAGGATGAGGTAGCATATGGCCGACGATACCACGGTTTCCGGAAGGGCCGCTACCCGTTGCCCAACGACGACTTGGAGCAGCGAAGAGAAGAAACAAATCATGCTTTAATGTTAGAACTTACTGTATGTGCTTTGGCCTTCTTCGGCACCCGAGTCAGCATTCGCGGCATCTTCATTGACTCATGCCAACCCATTGAATTCCGAGAACTGATAGCCACCCAGGGCGGACGACTCTTTTACTCCGACATTGGCAAGTATCCGCACAAAATTATTGATATTGGGACAGGAACTGGTATGTCTTTTGTTGTTGCGGGAGTATACTGACTCGATTGATTACAGTGCTAACAAATACTTCTAAGGTACATGGGCCATAGACGGTAAGCTGGACCAAACCTACAACCTGCTTTGTGCAGGACGATGTAGCTCGACAATCTAGCCCCTAACTCCTTCTAGTGGCGGACCAGTACCCAAGTGCAAGTGTGGTTGGAACCGATCTATCCCCTATACAACCGAAATGGGTACCTGTGAACGTGCGAATGTATGTGGACGATTGCGAAGAGCCTGATTGGCTCCACGGCTCCAACTTTGACATGGTACATTTTCGCGGAGTGGCAGGCACTCTACGAGACCTGGATAGAATGTTGAAGAGAACTTATCCGTACGTTTTATTTCGACAGCACAGGGCGAGGAATATATGGCTAATCGCGTGGCAGGCATGTGCGAGATGGTGGATGGGTAGAGTTTCACGAGTTCATTCCTCAAATATTATGTGACGATGGAACCATGAGTAAAGAGGACCCATTACGAATATTTTTCGACGCCTCAACACAAGGTCTACGAACCTTTGGTGGCGAGCCCCTGAGAGCGCTCAACTTGGAAGAGACACTTGTTGGCGCCGGCTTCACAAATATCCATGTTATCACAAAGAAAGTGCCCATTGCTGCTTGGCCACGAGATAAACATTTGAAGACAGTTGGCATGTTTACGAGGGCGGTAATACTAGATTCGCTTGGCGCTCTCGCGGCCAAGCCACTGGCAGCTCTTGGAATACCTTCAGAAGACCGCCGATCTCTAGTCACGCAAGTTAAACGAAGCCTCAATGACCGGAGGATACACCGTTATATGAAGTTCGTCATTTGTTACGGGCAGAAGAGAGAGGATTCCTAGTCGGCGTCGCCTCCTCTTCAATAAAGCCGAGACAGAGAGCGTCTGATTATGCCACCTTACCATACGAATTGAAAGGTGGGGTAGTCAAGTTCCTCTTTTTAGAGGAGGCGACGCAGGAGAGGTTAACGCTGTATAAAACTTATTATTATTACTTGGGCCTCGTTGGAACCGCCTGTTTTTATTTATTTATTTATTTTTTCTATCTTGGTACCAAGTATCTTCGGCCGCGTCTTTTAATGGGTTTGATGGCTCCTCCGCTTTCTATGGAACTGGCCGAGTTGGCGTTAATATGTGACCAAGGTGCATTGGGCACGCACTGATCGGCAACTAGCACGAGGAAATAGATGAATAATCCCTTCGTAATACATACAAAAATTTTGACCCGTGACCCTGAAAGTTTGGCCTTTCTTTCTTTAAATGACAACCACATTTCTGTATCGTCATTGGACGCTGGGTTAGTGGTGGTGCCCAAGAGTTGTGGAGGATGACAAAGCGAGGTCCGTCTCGGCGCCACTCCGCTAACTTCTAGAGCTTTAAAGCTTCACATTGCGCACCCCATCCGTCAAACCTGAACAATCAAACCAATCCGCCGAGCAAACCGCGCTCGCGCAAGTCGCGCAAACCTCAGTACATTATTGAGCCTCGCAGAAAGCGCTTGCGAATCTTCCAGCGCTTCCGACCCGCCACCATGGCGACCGCAACCACACCCGCAACAGCAGCCTCCTCCATCCTGAACCACTCCTCCCAAACCTACAACTTCCGCTTCTCGCCCTTCCTCCGCGCCACATACCAGGTCGGCCTACCGCTCGATCGGCCCGTATGCAAAGCATACCAATCCGGCAGCTGTCCAAACGGCACACGATGCACAGAGCGGCACGTCCAAGACGCCAAGACGGCGCAGGCAACAGGTGGCCTCAATTCGCTCGTGTGCAAGCACTGGCTGCGCGGGCTCTGCAAAAAGGGCGAGCACTGCGAGTTCCTTCACGAGTATAACCTCCGCAAGATGCCCGAGTGCAACTTCTTCATGAGGAACGGGTACTGCTCCAACGGCGAGGAGTGCCTCTACCTGCACGTCGACCCGTCGTCGAGGCTGCCGCCTTGTCCGCATTACGACATGGGCTTCTGCCCCCTGGGCCCGCTGTGCTCCAAGAAACATGTTCGGAGGAAGCTGTGTGTGTTCTACTTAGCCGGGTTTTGCCCGGACGGCCCGGAGTGCAAAGCCGCGCATCCCAAGTGGAGCAAGGATCTGGACAAGCCGACTGTCAAGGCGGATGGGAAGGAGGAGGATGATGGCCATGTGGACAGTGGGATGAGGGGAGACGACGATGGCAGCGAGAGGGTGACGAGAGACGGGATGGGACGCGGCGATAGGGACAGGGACAGGGACCGGGATAGAGATAGGGATAGGGATCGGGATCGTGATCGTGACAGAGACGATGGTAGGCATGGGGGCAGGTTTAGAGGCGGTGGGAAATGGAGAGGTGGACGGGCCGGCCGGTTTAGAGGAAGAGGGCATTGATTTCCTCGATGGGCGCAAAATCTAGTCGATCCAAACCTAGATGATGAGTGTGAACTATTGTTAAATAGCAGTTTCTTTATGCCTTGATACCCAGGTTCAAAAGAAGAGCAATAGAATAATTTTTCTGAAGATTCAATGCGTGTGATCGCAGGTCCATTTACAAGAAACAAGTAGATATATTTTGTATCTCTGTTTACGGCTTAAATTGGAATGGTCATTATATACAAGTTATTGGACGTCATATCAGTCTCCGAGTCTATTTCTACGTCACGATCGGGGAGAATTCGGTACTGGAGGCACCCAGAGACTACTCTCGGTAGCATCAGCACTCCATACATTGCGCTCGGATGGAACAGCAATGAATTCATTGGAGGAAGTCGTCGCCGCCTCACCATCCTCGCTTTCTTCGCGCTCTGAGCCGGCGCAGGAACTGGTCTTCCAGGTCGATAGCTCATCTACTTTCCGAATGCCCATCATCCAGGAAACAAGACTGCGGGGGGCCCATCGTCCAACAAAACCATATACGCTGGAGCCGAGGCCGATGCGAACCGTGTCTCCCGTGATGGTACCGTCCATGACATCAAAGACGGCGTTGTGGAGTCGACGCAGGGAGCTGCCTTTCAAGCCGCGGACTCGTCCACCAGAGATGGCGGAGCTAGTTTGTGCGACGAAATTGCGCCCGTAGACGTGCCGTGCACCATCTGGCCAAACCAGGGGTTCTTGGGGGTTCCCAGCAGAGACCAGTCCTCGGTGGGAGATGGCTGCTCGCGAGGGCACAAAGCTTGAAAAGTCAAAAGTGCCAAGCTGCATGTGTGTCACTGCGATATCGAGAGGTCGAAGCTCGGCTGTCAAAACTTCGGTAAAAGCTGAAAGGGCAGAGCACACAGTCGCTTCAGGGGCGTGGAATGGTGGGTTGATCGAGGAGATAATCGAGGGCGTGAAAACGAGGACCCTGGGAGGAATCCATTTCTCGCCTATTGGCTGCAGACGGGATGCCAACAGTGGGAGGAATGCCTGGATTGTGAGAATTGGTTGAAGCAGATGTGTGTTGAATAGATCGGCGAAACTCGACGGTGGGATGGTGGCGATGGGTGACGTTTGGTAGTGTAGGCTGGGAATAAGAATTACGGATTTGAGAGTCAGGGTATTTGGTTTGATGTGAGGACCGGGAGCTTGAGGGGATTGCAAAAAGGCCGCGAAGCGTTCGATGGCAGCGCCTGCTTGAGGCGGCTAACAAAATCAGTCAGCATCAAACGCTACGACAGCAGGCATGGGAGACAAATGACACTAACATCAGTTGTATCGAGGCCAAGGGGTCGAATGTCTGGCCTGGACAAGGCGTGCACCATACTTTCATCCTCGGCGGCATTGCATACAATGTAGACAATGAAGCCACGTCTTTCCATATCCAGAGACAAAGATTTGGTCAGGGGTAGGGTCGGGGACCCTGCGATAACCACTACCTCGGTACGCCCGCCATTTCTCGCTCGTTTCGCTCTTCTAGTTTTTCTCATTGACCTGCTTGTCTGGTATCCTTTGAATATCACGGTACCACAAGTGAAGATGATGACCGCCGCCAAAATCTTGTGCCGTGATACCCAATCTTGGACCTTTTCGAACCGCGTCATGGACACGACGGCGACAGCCGGTTTCACTGGAGGGCTTGGCTTGGCGTATTCGGGCAGCCATTTTGCTTGTGAAAGTGTCTCGCGGACAATTCTGGCGGCTTGATCGACGTTTTGATCTATGTATTCAGCAACATCATTGGAGTATTGCTTTAGCTGTGGCGGGATATGCGCGAGCTGTTGCCAGGCAGGGACAGCTTCAGTTAGCAGCGAAGGACACGGGAAAGGATGAAGTGATGACTGTGTGATTGTGTAAGCTTACCACGACATCTAAAAACTGCTGGTCGTCGGCAGACATGATGAAGTATGCGTGTTATGATATGCAGTCGACAAGGCGGCGTTGGGTTCACATGACGGAACATCTGGGCTTTCTCTTCTTGTTGATGTGGAGAAGATGCTGTTGCGGTCCGCCAGTGCCGTTAGCAGGGATTGCGGGGTGGAACGTGGTCGCAGCTCTGTGATTGGCTGGGGGAGGGAAGCTCTGTCAGGGTCGGAGCGCAGGCCGAATGTGTAAGAAACAGAGCATTGGAAGTAGTGGAGTTTTGTAGTTTTGTAGTTTTTATAGTTTTTCATATAATAAATAATATTAAATCTAATAAAATACTTATAAGATTATAAGTTTTACGAGTAAATAGTATGAATTTTATACTATAAGCTAATATAAAAAAGTGGGTCCTTGTAAGCTCTTATAAGCCTAGAACTTAAAAAATTACGTATACATATAGCGCTTACTTATTTTTAATAAGAGATTTATATATAAAGTTATAAATAAAACCTATATTATTTATAATCTCTTATTTATAATGTATTACGCTAATAGGGACCGCGTAAATACCTGTAAAAGAAAGTTTTTAGTTAATTCTAAGAGCTAAATATAATTCGTAAAAACGTGCTAAACACATTATTATACTACTAATTAGCTAGACCTAGTAGAGTAGTATAAGGGAAAACCCTTTCTATAAAAAGAAAAACCCCCTCGTGTAACGGTAGCTTAGGTTCTAAGGCATAGTAGGTCTATTTCTTAGGAAGTAAGTTAGGTTAAATGCTATAGAGTAGCTTTTAAGTAGTATTATAATAAGGCTATTAAGAGTATAACTCTTAATAGTAAAACTATTACTTAAATTAATTAATAAAGATTTAAACTATTTAACTATAAGAATACCTTCTCCTTAAGTATTTATTTATCTTTTTATTATAGTCTTAGATTAATTAGCTTAACTATTAATCCCTTTAAACCTTAATTAACTAGCTTAACCTTTAATCCTATTAAGTCTCGTCCTAGATTGCTAACTCAACACTTTAAGTCTTTGATCGCCTTTTAGGTCACGTGGCTAGTCACGTGCCCCTGCCTTCTTCTCGTGCCTACGGGTCGTGCCTGCCCTAGCTGGTGCGGTCCCGTCCCGTCTCTCGTGCAGTGTCGTTCGTAACAGTATTGTATTTTTTGTATTTTTTACTATACTGTATTATATTGTATTGTAATGTAATATATTACAATACATTACAAGATTAGAATACCTATAAATGTATTATAAGGCTATAAAATATTTAATATTATAAATAAATGCTTATATAAGCATATTATATATTAAAATAAAGCTAAAAATCACGTGATTTTAAATCTTTAAAAATTAACCTTAAAATGTGGATATTAAGCGAGATATTAAGCTTTAAAGTTATGTCTTAAAATAAAAAGTAAGTAAAGCGGGGCGAATTTTCAATTGCTTATAACTTCTTAATGTAGTAACTTACAATAGTAAAAAGTGGGGCATTTTAAA